AAATTATAGTGTCCCATCACCTCCAAATTCTAGGTCGGCCTCGATTGGTACTTGGTGAGTTGGCTCATGAGTGCACATTAAAAATGGCTTAAAAGACTATTTAATGGCATAATTTAGAATATTTTAGGTCACAAAGCATTTGTTTTCTCTATAAAAAAGAGTAAAGGATTGGTATATATAGGTGATAGAATGAAATGAACAGATTCTGAGTTGACTCAATTGCTTATATAAAATTAAAGTGAAGAATTAATTATTTAATTAATTAATTAGGATTATTCTCCTTGTAATAGTGACACGACCATGCGTCTTTATTAAGTATGTTTCTTGGATTAAAGTATCATTTTAGTGCGCTGACAATCCTAATCTTATTCTTTAATTAAAGCTAATAAAACCACCAAGGTTGTGGAGTGGATGGATAACTTTCTTCCATCCTTAGCTCGAGGTAGTGAGTTCGATTCATGGGAATAGAAAAATTCTGGTAGAATGCATTTTCTCTTTAAATGGATCTTACGTGACGTGAATTTGGATTAGTCAAAATTCAAACGCCAGTATTAGACACGAATGAGAAATAAAAAAAATTAAAACTAATATAAACTTCAAAAAAATTATATCATACATGTATGGTAAAAGTTATCTCCGCTATTTGATCTCTTGTTTCATAGAAAAAAAATATTAACTTTTTTTTTCCAAATATTTCTCTCAGTTTATTTTGGATTAGGAAATTAAAGTCTTGAAAAGTAGAAATATTATGTTGTTGAGCGCTTTCTACGAATTATTTTCCTTCCATTTTACCTGACGAAAATTACCTTACTTCAGCTGTAGCCAATACTGTCATTGTATTGTTAAAAGATGTAGAGAAGAAAACGAGACCTGTGCGTATCTTAAAATAATTTTGTCGGACGTATATTATCTTCCAACAACACAACTTGTAGGGTCTATTCCCATAAATGAAAGAAAGAAAAAAAAAAAATGAGGAGAGCTTCTACTCTCATTTCTACACACCAACAAAGAGAGAAAGAAAGAGTGAGGTATTACAGACTGGGTATAAGAAAATACTCTATGAGAAAAATAGAGAGTGAGCGATATTATAGCGAGGTGAGAATATCATAAGATGGTTATTTCTTTTTGAGTGTTATAGTGGTCTTTGGAGTATTTTACTCGGACCTACAAAGTGTAAAATTCTTTGCTATAGTGATATCAGTTGCTCGTCTTGGGGTCGTGGTTTTTCCCTTATTCAAAAGAGTTTTCCACGTAAAAATTTTGGTGTCGTTGTCACTCTTTTATTCTTGTTAATTACCGTATTTCGGTGCTACGTTATTATTCCGCTTTTATTACCTTGAATATTATTTTTGGAGGCGATTTATTCCCAACACAAATATCGAATAACTCTATCAACCAAAACTATTTAAGCAATTGAAAAGAAATGTCTTGGTCTATGTGATTCCCTATTAGCACTCAAGACTAGAAAATGAATATATAGTTTATCTATTGATTATTCCCTCCGGTCCTATTTACTTATCAATTTTACAAAAATAATTTTTTTAAATACTTTTAAACAATTATAGGCAGTGACGGAACAAAGAATCTATTCAATTGAATTTTCTTCACTAAAAATTACATAGTGTAAATAAAATTAAAATAATTTTTTTTTTATTATATATAAATTATTGAAACCCCTCTCCTTGACATAACACAAAATTCTAATATAATTGTAAAGTTTATCTAACAGTTGCTTTAGGTCATAAAATCAAATTCGAATTATTATATTTTAATATTTTGTTGGAATTTTGATCCCTTAAATAAATTCTTGACCCCTCCACTGACCTTAGCGTCAGCAAAATATCCATTCTTTTCTTTCACTTTTTTCCCCTTTTGTTAGAATAAGGACCACCACTTTGGTGTATGGGATAGAATTAGAGTTAGCTAGCTAATTAAGTTTAATTCTCAACTTGGGAGAATATTTCTTGTTCTGATTCTGTTTACTTTCGATTAATCCCCTCTTTAATTAGTGAATACAGCTAGTTACAAATAATAATGCTTTTCATGGTAAAGAATAATTACTGATAAGCTTGTTGAGTTTTAAAACAATTAAATCAATGAAAACAGTATATGGTTTTTATTCAAATTAAACTTTATATTTGTATTAGGAAATCTATAAAATATATATATAAATATTTAACTCAACAACCTAGACGAGCTATGAGTTTGTTGGAAAATTTAAAATCTATAAACTCCAAATTATGATTCCGCTTTCTATTGCTATATGACAATAAACGAAATTAAATATTGGCGAAGTAAGTGAAGGAAACTAAATAGTTTAATTTCCCTTCCTCTTGTTTGGTTTAAGGATAAATTAATTAATTAAGTGCAGTGAATTGGATTTCTCCTATACTGTCTTCCTCGTTCAAAGAATTAAATCTCCTCTTTGCTTATTGTCTTCAAAATAATTCTGTAATCAGAATCCCACGTAATATTACCATCATATAATCAATTATATTAAAAGTAATAATGTTGTTAAGGCGCAATAGTGATAGAGAATCATTTTCTTTTTATGGTGAGAATTTTTTTCTTCTTATTTTACAGAACGAATATTTCGTTTGTGAAAAACTAAAATTATTTTTAGCTCAAGCTAACCGAAGTGAAAGTATTTATTCATACAGTAATAGCATACAGATAAAAAAAGATCCCGTTCCGATTTTGATGAAGCAAATAGAGAAAATAAGGTAGTTTTCGAACGAAAGCTTAGTAGCTTATTATGAACCTTTCTATTCCTCTTCTTCGATTGCTAAAGACAGTGGAAAATTTTAGAATTTTTCTCCCATATTTATATATAAGATAATACAAGTAAATAATGTTATATAGATATAAACATGTAGACAATACACTACTACATGGTTGCTAGTTTGAAAATTGGAATAGTATCCAATCATAAATTCATAAGCCTAGCTTTGACTGACAATTCATATTCTACCACTTGTCTTTGGCTACCAAAATATCTCAACATTTAATAATGCATCTTTTAATTAAGTCCATCACTACGTCACCACCGATTGTATTCCTTCACTTTTAACGAAAAGTTTTGAATATTTATTGAAACTGAAATATTTTTTTCGTAAAGAACATTTTATCGATCTTAATAACTTACTCGATATAAATTTAAATTAATTAGATCAGTAAATTTGGAATACCAAACTGCATCATCATTCCCTAAAAAACGAATGAGGTTTCACAAAAAGGAGAGAAAAGGGGGCAAATAAATATTTAAATTGCATTCAATCTCTTCCCTTTTTGAATAACCCACTAACTAAAACTTTTATCTTTAGGCTTTGAGGCCATGCATGTTACAAATGGCCTCTAGCGTGGGTCAATTTATTTTGTGACTCATTACATACTTGTATTTAGTTTTATGATCGCATCTCTTTTTTTATACATGAGAGATTTATTTTTACACATAAGAAATCTTTTTTTTATACGTAAAAGATCTAAAAAGACATTTTCTTAAATTCAACATTATAAAATGCCACGAAGGCCTAAAACCTCCTCTAATGTACGGTTGATAATTGATTTCTTTTACATATATATTAAGCATCATCTTTTTGCATGAAAATTCATATTCATTCTTATGAATGTATGGTGAGTTGTTGAATCTAACGACGTCATCGATCAAAGGAACACTTCTTCATTAAGAAACATTTCACCTTTTGGAGTTGGTGTAATGCAAAATCAAATCGTGTGTACTAAAAAGTTTTAAAATATAAGTAAGTAAACACATAATAAGTTAAGGGAAATGTATATATATGTGTGTGTATATATATATATATATATATATATATATATATATATAAAAGAGCATGTGAGAATATATACAGACAATACATCTTTGGGTTTGGCCTCTAGCAGCAGCGCATGTGTGTTGCACTCCTGCTAGTCGGTACAGTGAGAACTTTTACAACTATAGGATTGACTGTACGATGGCGGGGAAACTGATCATATCGGGTTCCTTGAGAAAATTTGGCTAGACATCGAAACATATCACAACAGTCGCAAAGGAACTGATCGTATTAGGTTCCTATCTAGTTCCTCAATAGAGTTTGAAAAATTATCAAAACCCACAATAGCGTAACTTATCATTTTCTTCCCTTTTGATGATGACAAACCCAGAATTGATATTACCCTGAGAACCAGATTTCCAACATGTTCCTCCTACGGATCAGGCCTAGATTCAACTTTTACCAGATTTGATTCAACTGTTACCCCCTCTTAGTTATCTTCCTCCTTTTGGCATCATTGAAAAGAATGAAAGAAATAGCGCAAGTAAAAAGAAGTTCAGCAACATTAACATAATACTTTTACGATTTTGGGGTGTTTCTTCTCGTGTATTGAAGTGCATCTGCTGAATTAGTCCTTGTTGTATTCTTTAAGTTCATGAATTAGCTCTAAGCAAGTAATAAAATATTTTTAATGATTAAATTTATTCCTTTATGTACTTTTTTTCTCTCGATGGGTTGATACATGCTGTTTTGAACAAATATTTATCGACAATGTTTAGAACATTTTTATTTTTATATTTGTGAGCACTTTAATTAAGAATATTACAGTCTATGGTTCTATGCACTAGTTAATATTGAAGCCGAACAAACCGAAATAATCGTACCGAATAAACCGAAACTGAAAGGAGAAAAACTGAACCATACCAAATTTAATTAGGTACAATATTGATATAACATTTTAAGAAACCAAATACCGAAAATACTGAGCCGAAATGTCTAAATATCATACCGTACCTACCGACAAACACCCCTATTTGAGATAGAGCAAGTTACATTTGTGGAATATTTTCATCCGCGATTGGAACGGCCTATGTTGTAACGCAAGAGAGAAGGTGAACCAACTTCCTTTGGTCACCTATCCCATCGGGTCGACTAGCATTCGCTCCTTCCTACTTACTTTATTATAATATAAGCTTAACATAAAAAATAGTTACATTCATTAGCCAAATATACAAAATAAAATATAATGTATAAAATATGTATATTACACATTAAATATGCACAAAATATACATTTTACCGGTTATTATTTTTGGAAGCTGCTATACTACTAGGTAATTTTCCCTTTTAAAGGCTTGTATACATGAATTATGGATTTTGCTTGTACTATCATAAAACAGAACAAAAGCTAGTTCTTGTAAAAGCTAAAAGAGAATATCTTCACTTCATATAATCCAGGCCACACAACAACACAACAACAGTCCCACAAGTGGGCAAGTGGAGTCTGAGGAGGGTAGTGTGTATGCAGACCTTACTTCTACCTAGAAGGTAGAGAGGTGGTTTCGATTTTGTAATGAAGCAGACTTTCCAAGTATTTCTCCACATAATCTAGGCCACATTGTGTCTTCACAACAGGTAATGTGGCAGGAACATTCAAATAGAATTCCGAATCAGACTCGTCGAGCTTGACCCAAAGTTTAAGTTGTTTTCTTGCTGCTTTAATGGCTGCTCTTGTTGCACAATGAACCGAGGATGCCAGAAGTAGTGGCGGTTCACCAGATGCTGCAAAACGTTGTTATAGCCGTACAGTCAACATTATGCACAAATAAATGGACATATACCATTTTGAGGAAACTTTAAAGTGAGATTGTTTCGTCCCTATAATTGAAAAATGCCTTGGTCATTTTTTTAACCTTCTAATAACTTTTTGGAAAAATCATGGAAATTTCTTCACAAGCTCGTTCAACAACTATGTTGCACAGATCCTTCAAAATCCTTACTGCACCCGTGTTGATCAACACGATTTTGGGTGTGGTTGTGGCAACTTGGGTTACTACACCTATGGCCAAGAAGCATAGGCTGATCGAGTATATATATAACGCACATACTAGAACACTTCACTATTATACGAGATAACCTATGAATTGGGTATATATATAACGCACATACTAGAACACTTCACTATTATACGAGATAACCTATGAATTGGGTATATATATAACGCACATACTAGAACACTTCACTATTATACGAGATAACCTATGAATAAAATACTAAGTGTTTTAAAAGAACTTAACCATACCAGCTTTCATTTAGTAACTTCTATTAATTGTCGAAATCTACACTCCTATATTTGTAATATATATTTATTGACTGTATCTTAATGCTCATACCCATACTCCTATTTGTAAACCTGGTTGTGGCATCCGCACAAGATTTGGACAACCAAACTTGGGTTACTACACCTTTGGCCAAGAAGCATAGGCTGATCGGGTATATATATAACGCACATACTAGAACACTTCACTATTATACGAGATAACCTATGAATAAAATACTGAGTGTTTTAAAAGAACTTAACCATACCAGCTTTCATTTAGTAACTTCTATTAATTGTCGAAATCTACACTCCTATATTTGTAATATATATTTATTGACTGTATCTTAATGCTCATACCCATACTCCTATTTGTAAACCTGGTTGTGGCATCCGCACAAGATTTGGACAACCAAACTTGGGTTACTACACCTTTGGCCAAGAAGCATAGGCTGATCGGGTATATATATAACGCACATACTAGAACACTTCACTATTATACGAGATAACCTATGAATAAAATACTGAGTGTTTTAAAAGAACTTAACCATACCAGCTTTCATTTAGTAACTTCTATTAATTGTCGAAATCTACACTCCTATATTTGCAATATATATTTATTGACTGTATCTTANAGCAACATAGATGGTTGCAACAAGGTGTACTTTTTTCCAGCACAAGAGACATGTTGCATTCTCGGCGGCAAAGACGTGTACTTTTTTCAGCAGCATAACATGAATATGAAATATTTGGAATCTCCTTTTAAGAGATGAAATGAAGAAATAACAGTACCTTTAGACGAGAGAACACGTTTCTCGTGATGTCCACTGTTTAGCACTCGAACATTGAAATTTTTCGGTATTGTGTCAATTGTTGGGATCTTGTATGTCCAAGTACTATCCGAAACGACCAACCCGTCTGTGTTTGTAAGATACTCTTCGAGCATAAAAAATCCAATTCCTTGAACAAAAGCCCCTTCAATCTGCAACAAACAAAATTCCCCACAAACAAAATTCGTAATTGTTTGAGGAAATCCACATTATAAAAGCTAAAACTTAGAGTACATTGAGGATAATTTCCGACAGACCTGTCCCATATCAACAGCTGGGTTCAAGCTTTGTCCACAGTCATATATAATGTCTGACTGCAAAATTTTTGTTTCTCCTGTCAGGATATCTATCTCTACCTGCAAAAACCAACATCTTTATTGTTATTTTCTGTAAAAAGGTGCTGCCGCATGTAAAATGGTCACTAGATGCTTCAAAACTAGAATGTCGGCCGAAGTGTTTTACAATTATTGGATATTGATTAATCCTTGAAGACGAGGTGAAGCAATAAATCTTTCCACAATTAAGAAATATATGTCGGCCGAAATATCCAAACCGATTAATCCGAAACCGAGCTTAAAAAATCCGATCCAATCCAAGCTTATTTGAATTGGATTTGGATTGTAATTTCTTCAATCCGAAAACCGAAAATCCAAATTTTCATATCTAGTCTGAACTGCAAATTTTCATATCTAGTCTAAACTGCCCGAACGCTCACCCCTACATGAAGCTGCAAAATTAAGTGAAAAAGAAAACAAGTTCACCTCGCTTACAGCAGCACCATAGTTCAAATATTGCATGGAACCGAATGCCGGCACATAATAAGAGTTCGCTGCTAAGTTAATTGCTTGCATTTGTGCCTGAAAAGGGTAGAGTAGGATCAGAATTTGAACACTTATTATTCGACGTATATACAAAGAATGTTTTAAGACATTAAATTCAGACATATGGATCAGGAGCTACGTTTCATGCATTTCCCTTTCAACTTAAACCAATGTATCATGGTCTTTAAAATTAAGTCCAACACAGGATATCCACTGACAGATGTTTCCAATTTGAGTCAGTTCTTTTACCATATATTATCCTCTTGACTACTTCAATTTGACATCAATTTTTAGAAACTGGAATTCTATTTGGAATGGTTCTATCTGATGGGTATTCATAACATATGTTGTGCAGACTCTCCAAAATGCTGCCGCACCCGTGTCGCATCCTCCAAAAATACACTACTTTTAGAGGATCCGACTCTCAACCAACGATATTTTTGGAGAGTCCGAACAACATAGAATCATAACTGACATGGTCAGAGGCAAAGTCAGGATTTGAAGCTTATGGGTTCGGATTCTAGTTCTTTTAAGCTACTTAGTTCTAAAATAATAATTTGTATATATTCAATGAAATTTTTAAGACAAATACAGGATTTGGACGAAAACTACTGTGTTCAGCCGAACCTGTAGCCGAAAGGTTAGCTCCGTCACTGGACATGGTATAGGCTTGAGATAAATACGTCTAAAAGTATAAAGCAGAAATCAGCTCGATTGCATAAACTGTGCCTCGTGAAAGGACAGTGAACGATTTTATCTTACAAAATTGTAAATTAAGGAAGTCAAAAGAGAAGATCAGACAGAAAAGAGAAACCTGGCGAATCAATGTAGTCCAATCAACAGAACCATTTTGTTCTTGCAATGTCTTCTTCAGAGGGGTCAGTCTTTCAACTAATACATTACAGCAAAGTCTAACAGCTTCACAGCTCGATTCAGATGTAGTACTTCCAGCAGTAAACCCGCCTTGCACTAAGCTTAAAGTGTCTGCTTGTATGACGCGTACTTTCTCCACAAGTTCTTCACCCCAACTACTTTCAATTAAACTAAGACCATAGGCTGTCATTTGCTTCACCTTTGTCCATAGACCTTGGCCTATTTCAATACCTCCGACCTCAACAACTATTGATCCGTCCGACAGAATGCTTACTTTTCCGGGCGTTGGTCGTTGTGTAGATTCATAAACAAGTGGCACTCGAGAAATACCCCTTTTCTTCCATATATTTTTCTGGTTATATTGTCCTATCATCTCACTTCTTTGAACGAAACTTGATGATGTGGCCAGCTTATCCATCATACCTGGTAAAGTATAATCTCCTATATCTCCTGCACTGTGCTCATAAAATAATTTAAGACTTTCAAATGTATGAATATTTTGTTTTCTGATTGAGTCCACCTCCGAAGACAGTACACTCGCTACATGCTCCATTATAGCTTCGGCAATATACGATCCTTGTACCTCCCCCGGGCCCCGCATAGCTGATTTGCTAGTAAGGTTCGTCTTACATACATTTATATCAAAAGATAAGGCACCCCAATCATACTTTTTGAGAGCCCCGATAAAGTTCGACGGTATGATAGGGCTTACATCTTCAATTAGCCCAGCATTTATCAATACATCAAGATGTAAGGCAGTGATTTTCCCATTTGACTTAAATCCAACACTGTATGTTATTTTCATGGGGTGTCTCCCTCCTGCCATAATCATGTCAGTCTTTCGGTTGACGCATATTCGGACAGGGCGTTGTAACTTGAACGCTGCAAGTGCACAGGCTGTGGAGACCTAACATGTCATACATAGATTTTCATAACGGAACTAGAATTCTTTTGCAACAGAAAGAAAGAGAAGAAGAAAGAGTAAGAGACAAAAATGTTTCATACATAATAGGAAAACATAGGAAAAATTTATTAAAGAGAGCATCAGAAAAATCATAAGGAAAAACTGTTTGTGCCTGCTTAAGCATGGAATCTGCAAAGCTTCTAAAAAGAGCTAGTTTATTACGACCGAACCAAAAAATGGAAAAAAGAAACGGGAGAAAATCTTATTTAAGATTCTGTGACGCGGAATGTGCACAAGGTACTTGAATCGTCTTCTAGTAAGTTTATCTAAACATATCGATAGCTGCTTATGAAGTTCCTATAATCCTACTATTAAAGACTCCCACAAACTTTCACGGTGTTGTCCACAGATCATTGCACTACTACCATCCCACAATTAAGACATGCACATCCATTGGATTAATAACAGAACACTTTTTACTTATTTTTTTATTTTTTAAACCATGTTAGCAAAGAGTTTATCTTACCCTATAATATTTTCCAAGCAGAAAATTTATGATTTCTTCCATTTTTACTCTATAAGGAGTAACAGATACTTACAGGCATCGCTCTCACCGCCTTGCCTCCAAAGCCACCTCCAACCCTTCTTGTAACAACACGGATGTTGTGCTCGGGGACACCAAGACAACTAGCAATTACACTACCTACATACTCGGGGCACTGACTTGATGCGTAGACAACCATACAGTTATCTTCATCCGGAACTGCAAGAGCAGTCTGTGTCTCCATATAAAAGTAGTACTGAGACCCAAGTCTCATCTGCAAATGATAATTAACAGAGCCAATCACTATTAAATTTGAATCATTAGTATATTTTTACACATAGCTTTTTTCATTTTTGGCCGGCGGCCCAAAATAATTACAGGCAGTAGCCCAAATATACAAAACATATACACTGATTATGTATATGATATGTATATTATATGTTTTTTTTGTATATTATATGTATATTTATACTTAATTTACGGAACATATACATTCGCCGGCTATTATTTTTTTGGGCGGCCCAAAAATGTAATTATCCCAATATATAGTATTCCACCTCGCAGGAACCGAGATTTCGAAAACTTGTTTAAGAGAAATCACTGAAGAACTAATCAAAAATACCTCAGCAGAGAGGATCTTGTGGTCAGCTTCAGCCATTCCTTTTGAGAAATCACCAACTTTTTTCGGATATAGAAATGGTGGAACTTGAAAAAAACTGGACTTCTGAACTGCTTCCTCGACAGTTAAAATTGGTGAATCTACATTTTCAGTGTCATATTCAACGACGGCCATGTTTGCGGCCACATCAGCAGACCTCTGACTTTCAGCAACCTAAGTTATTTAACCACAAAATTGAACATAAAAGAAATAATTTAAAATAGACCTCTCTAGTGAAGCATATGAAAAATCACCTTGCCTGAACCTCTTCTAGCAAAAGGGCGATGAAAAAAATAAGGGCTTACCACAAAAGCAATTCGGTCACCAGCATATCGGGTGAGATCATCTGCAAATAAAGGTTCGGGACCAAATATGGTCTTAGATCCTACATTTGCTCCTCTGCTCGGGATATCTTTAAAAGTAATAATGCAACTAACTCCATCAGGTAATGAATTAGTCCCAAAATGGATGCCCTTTACCCCTGCTAATGGTCTTGTACTATAGATAAATGCTCCATATAGGCAGTTTGGTGGTGATGGAATGTCGTCCACGTAAACAGATTCTCCTGCAAATTTCATTCTTTTTGATAAGGTAATGAAATTTATTGATTGCAAGGGAATTTCCCACATACAAGATGTGTACAATATAGAGAATTACATGCATGATTCTCTACTACATGTTGCTTCATTTTTGATGTTCTTGAGCCGAGGGTCTTTCGGAAACAGCCTTGTGTGCACACTACCCTCCCCACACCCCACTTGTGGGATTTCACCGGGTTTGTTGTTGTTGTTGTTGTATTCTCTACTACATGTATTTAATCATATATGCTAGCAAGAGTGCTCTAGGTGCTCCCAAACATGCACTAATCCTAGAATAGTGACATCTAGTGTTAGTAATTGGGCTCTAAATCTAATTATTGTTTAATATTTAGTGGATTTCTTTAGGCAAATACAGGATTTGGACTAAAGCTATTGGGCTCGGCCGAACCCGTAGCTAGGCTAAACAACCTTATCCCACTAACCCAGATCATGCCTTTAGGACCCACTAGAGGTAGAAGAGCTCTCCACCAAGAGTTTCTCCATTCACAGGGCTCGAACCCAAGACCTTTGGTAAAAAATAGAGGGATCATATCTACCCCACCACATTCCTTGGTGATCATGTCTATCGTAATTGATAGAACATTCCAAAATTTAACTTCCTCATCTTTTTGGTTCCCACTCGCCAGCCTTTCTTCTCCTCGACACTACTTGCTTCCTCGCTTCCGTTGCTCTATCTTCTCTTCCACCCTTCTCTAGTTTCCCATATCCTTCCATTGTTTCCCCATTCTCCCTCTTTACCATGTCATTTTACTCACAGAGACAACTGTCTCGCCCACAAAACTACTAAAGGGCCAAATGGGATTATCTCCCATTTGTTTCTCCTTATCACGTTCACCTCACAAGGGAGCGAGTCAACAGATCCATCGTCAGCCAATCTCTGCTTCTCTGGTAGCATAGGGTCTTTTCCTTCTAGCAATTGACAAGATAACTGTTAATTTACAGCATGTATATAGTGTAGTATTGTCCCACATTGGTAGAGGAGTAGTATGTCCTTGTATAGTATAGCTATAAATAAGGACCTCTTGTGTAGTATTATTCATTCATTCAATATATCAATAACATATTTTCTCCCGTGACTTCTCACATGGTATCAGAGCAATTGTGAGAGACTTATCGCTGTGCATAAATTCCAGCGATTCTGGGAAAGAGAAATCAGTATTTTTTAAGGTTGTTTTCTATCTGCTTCATTTCTGTCAGTGTTGTGCAAAATTCAACACTACCACAAGAATCGTCACTGTCCGGCGACCAAACCCCAGTGAAAAACTCCGGCAGAAGCAGCCTCACGCGCCACCAGAAGCTCACGCACGTGAGCTCACGCGCCGGCGCGTACGACCACTTCCGGACATTTTTTGAAAATCTTCCTTCAGAACAGTTGGGTCGCCTGGTAATTCCGATCCTACCCCTACTGTTTTCATTTCATTCCGACAACTTTGAGTTTTTTCCGGTAGCTACAGTACTATTCCGACAGCTACAGTAGATTCCGGCAGCTACAGTATTTCAGTATTCTGTTTCTGTGTTTCCGTACACTGTTTCAGTGGATTACAGTTGATT